CAAACCATTCTATGATTCTATGATTAAAGAGGTTAAAACCACTCTAATGTGAAAGCTGTATAAACTCTTAAATACGGGAAGGCTCTCAAGCATTTGAGATATTCACTCTAATGCAGTTTATTTATCTTTTCAAGATTATTTCTCATTCTTTTCATGCTAGCTTCCTGCTATTTACAGTTCTGAAATTTTTCATGTTTCTTTCCAAGCACTTAGCATGAAGTACAGTGTGTGGGTGCATATTCCTCCCATCCCATGTCAGAGGAAGATTGATATCCCTTTCTATTCCATCACTGACCTCAGAAGGGGAAAGATTGATCTTCATTGAGCATAATCTATTTTCTGGGTGACAGTGTGATACCAGAGTTGAAGTATTGCATGAAAGTCTGTCACCCATTCCTTCAGCCAGTAACGCCTATGAGGAAGCAAGGCTAAGAAAGTGTGATGTGGCGATATAAGACTTACACTGCCTCCCACTTAAAAATGCTTTCATTCTAAGTGTACAAAAGACTAGAGATCATGTCCCTTTGCCCATTTAACTGTGCTGTTACAGCTAAGGAAATAAGACTTTATAGTGCAGATCAGAACTGGAGAGCAGCATCTTACTAAAAAGTAATTTTTTAAAAGGGTTTTTTCCCTTTAAAAAAATACATACAAAAATATGTACTTGATCAGATTACAAGAAGCTTGCTTGGACTTATAAAGTTGGTACCTCCTACTGTCAGTCATGGGTTAGGTCTGATCCTAGCGAGAGAAACGACATGTCCATAGCGGCGGGTATAGTATACAGACTCTCAAGCTGATTCTGAGCACAGGAGTGCAACTAAAAATGCCAACTTTTTAGCTGGCTCATGCAGGACGGCTCAGGTCCAGACTGTAGATAGCCTAACTGATGCAATGCTATGCCTGATTTAATAAACCCTGCCTTGCAGTTCTGCTTCTTTCAGATCATAACTGGTCAGTGAGTATCTTTGCCCCTTATGACCTTATCTTAAGTGCTTCTGAAACTTTTGCTAAAATAAGCACACAGGAACAAGTTTCTCAAGCCTGTAAATGTTCGTTGGCGTTTCTGAAGATTACAACTCTTTTTGAGTTCTGATAGGTGGTAAAATAAATTGCATTTGCATGTTCTTCTTTGTTATTAAGTAATTTATGTGAAAATAGCTTTTGCCAGTCAGTTTGGGCTTCTGATGAAGAAGCCGCAAAATCCACAGTTATTTTCCAGCAGCTCAGAGATGTCAGAAAGACCAAACACCAGAACACTTCCTGCTTACTATTTTCATTGAATGCAGGAAAACATAACAAATGGAAAGAGCTGATTTATTACCACATTACTCCAGTTTTATGCCTATAGGCAGTAGCCAATTGAGCTAGAAGAACCTTAATGCAGAATTTCCTTGTTGGCAATCGAGCTAAAAGAGCCTTAATGCAGAATTTCCTTGTTATTTGGATTAAAGCAGAATCTTGATATTATTGCACCCTTCAGCCTGGCTAGTCACGGTCCAAATGAAATGCAAGAAATTGCACAGTCAGCAGAAGTGTCCAGATGTAGTCTGTTGAAGCTGCAGTGTTCAGACTCAAAATCGCTTGAGGAAATGGCTTGTACTCCTTCCCACTCATGGGAAGAAGGGGGCTGCTCAGGTCAAATTCTGACTGCAGAAATACTGTCATCAGCTGTGGTACACGAGTTAGAATCAACTCAGCACATATGACTGTGAGCTTGGAGACTTCTTTTCAATTTTATGTCGTGAAACTGAGGTAAGAAAATTATTTATGGAAGCTAAACATTTACTCCTTTCCTACCATTTTAACTTTTATCCTTTATAGGTATGTCCTAATGATTCATAGTTTAGGTTTGGATGCAATTTTCTTCGGCATGTTTAGATGCAGTAGGAAAGACACACACCATACTACACTTCCCACTCCTCCCCCTTCCACTGACTTTGCTTATGAAAAATCTGTCAAAAGCCTAAATGGTAAATATGGGAGATGATTGGTCATATATGCAGGAGTTTTTCTGTATATATCTAGGTTTGTGGCAGCCTGCCCTCAAATACTGTGTTTAGAGTTGCCCAAGGAAGGCCAAGATCCCCCTAACTCCTGCAGCAGCTTTAAATTAGGAAAACACTAATCTGACTCAAACCTCCTCATTCTCTGAGTGGAAATATCATTTCCATGGATGGCCTCATATCCAGTGCTTTAGGTTTTGAAAATAAGATGCAAAAATTAGCAAATAACTGCTTAAGTCATGATTTCTCCCCCTGAGCCCAAGTGTAAACCTATAAATATGTAGATAAGTGGCACTGGGAGCTTAGAATGCTCCAAACCTAAGTGTCAGTACAAGATAAGCACATACAGCGTGTCAGAGCATGCTGAGATGGTTATAGCAAATTAATAAAGCTCATAGGGAGTCTTTAGGTTGTGGCAGAAGTTATACTATGTGGTACTTGGAGTAAGTGTACAGTAATGTCAGAGAAGGTCTTGAAACCTTGTAGAAGTAACCATAGAGCTATAGATGTTAAATAGTATGAGGCCATTTTGCAAGTCTAGCACAGAAAATTTCAGGAATGGCACTGCTGCAGTGGGAAATGTATTTTGCAAAGAATTGAGCTCTTCAGTAGCTACCTCTGCTAGTGTAGCAGTTATAATCCAGTAGCTTACAGAAGTACTAGAATCTAATGCACAGAGAGAAATCTGCAAAGGTTTGCTTTGTTGTTTTCTGACAGTACAGTGAATGCCTGACTTACATGCAGAAAGCCAGAGAAAGGTCACTGTCTTGTATCACTGAGCAATTACCACCTGAGCCCTTGCTGGGGTAATGTAATGATAGACCTAATAAAAATTGTTCCTAAAGTGAAATCTGGGATCTCTAGCAAGATACTCAGTGTTTGTAGGGAGCAGGGAGGGAGAAAGCTCTTGGTGGAATGCAGCAGAGTCTGCCTTAAGCAGCACCGAGCAGCCTATGAGTGGGTGTGTGAGGTCCCAGCTCGCTCTGGTTCTTTCGTGACCATCACAGCCAGGGGCATTACCACCTGTCACCTAGAGAACTGCAAAGTGGCTGGACCACCTCCTCAGGGAGTGAAACACCTTGTTTCATCTCCCATCTTGTTCTAATGAGTTTCAAACCCATGTTTCTTAGGAGGAAAAAGTAGTTAAAATATGTTAGCTCTATCCAAAGGCTAACAGCTGGTCTGGGTTGGTGTCCTTTTCAGAGGAATCTGGAATACTGCGCAGCAAAGAATTAAAGACTAACATTTGGGAAATATCCTTTAAAATGAAATTATTTATAGCTTTTTATTTGGGAAATGTTTTTATACTCTTTAAATTTATGTCTGGTGCCATATTGTTCTTCCTGGAACAGTTATAGCCTGACAATTAAAAGTACCACCCTGCAAAGTCTGTATGCTGTATATATTAACTTACATTGTTACATAGTCAGTAATTTCAGAGCACCAAACAGGTGCTACCAAGAAATATATGGATCTTGAGCATAATTAATGCAACTGAGGACTGTTTTCCTTTTGAAATCTCAATCACATGCCTGGTAAACAATGTGTAAAACTCATTATAATATATCTGTCAACAATTTAATTAAAAAACTTGCCCAGGCAATGTTCTTATGAGGAAATATATTGGGAGATCACCAGAAGAATATTCAGAACAGAGATGCTGTATTATAGCTTAGTTTATTATGTCCTTCCATATGCTGGTGTTTAATTTGAAACACTCATTCAAATTTAAATCCATTGCCACCAAAAATCCAGAACAGAGAAAATACAAGATATGCATTTTTATGTTGTTTGATGATGATACCACTGCTTTGCATTTTTCAGGAAAGGTAGTTTATGGGGAGCCTATTGCTGCTAGTCTTGGCACCGATGGCACCAACTACTGGAATAAAGACTGGGCTCATGCTGCAGCATATGTCATGGGACCTCCGCTGAGACCAGATCCATCGACTCCTGGTTTCCTCATGAACTTACTGGCCAAGTAAGCAGATGAACAAACAGTGACAGCTGATGCCCAAATACACAGCAAATTCTGCCTGGAGTATGTAATAACAAGTTGATGCCTTGGAGGTTTTCTAAGTACAGAATGTTACATTATCAAGAAGGAGAACTGGAAGGTGAAGCCATGGATGAAAAACATTTTTTGTTACAGAAATTAGAAAGTGTTCAGATTTTGTTTCTCTGAACTCTTGTGGCCTTCTGTCCCCATTTGATTTTAATCAATAAGCCTTGCCTTGCTAATATTGCTCGGGGGGGGGGGGGGGCAGTAAGGCTGTAAGTCGATGGGAAATGCGTAAAAAGTGGGGTCACAGCCAGGAGTTCCGGGTTTTGTTGTCAGCTGCCTTTTTTACTTGAAATTTGGATGCTGCATAAAAATTAAGTCTGCTGACTTCTGAAGGTAGATATAAGTTTTCCGCTTCATAACATCTCCTTCAGAAGGAAGTAGGAACAGAAGTATCCTTCAGACACTTGCAGTTAACAACATGTGCAGTTTGCTGGTATTTCATTACCAATACAGCTTAACACCACAAAAGGGTTGAATCTGACCAAAGAGTCTGTGAAGGTATGCCTTAACACTGACTGATGGTTATGCAGATCCGTAGTAATTTCACAAGGTATATGGAGAGACATAGTCTAAAATTGCTGTAAGTGAGGATGGAACCAAGCCCCTTGCTCTGGGAAGTGGGACAGATATTTTGACATATCCAAAGTAAAAGTGTTATTTTTGGTGCTTGGTTTCTTCTGAGGGGTTTCTGAAGAGGAAACTGCTTTATAAAGGAACTGGCTGTTACTGTGGGGCTACTCTTGGAGGATGGGACTGAAGACAGGCTGGCGGGGCATATCACTTCTTCCTTGCAGGAGGGATGGCTGGATCTACCCAGCCTTGCAACAGATTTTCCTGTGTGGCACTATCTGGTACATGTTCTGATTCATAACGAAATTTGTGTCTCCTTAGTGATGACCTCTCTGTGACAGGGACTGACAATTGCACCTTTGACATATGCCAGAAAGCTCTGGGGAAGGATGACTTCACAAAAATCCCTAATGGAGTGAATGGTGTGGAAGACAGGATGTCAGTCATATGGGAAAAAGGTGTTGTAAGTATATCAAGATGTCTGAACATGGAAGTAATTGATTTCTTCAACAAAATATAATCTCTCAGCAGTATCAACTCTCCAGTTTTATCAAGTGTATTTATCATAGGATAACTCCTTTGATCAAATACCAGAACAGAGTCCTTATTAACTCTCACCTTATGGTCCTAGGAGGTAGAAGATTCTTAGTGCTTAAGAATCATTTCCATCATTTAGCGGCAAAGGACTGCTATTGTTTCAGTGGTAGCTCGCAGTACATTTACTTGCAGCATTTTTTTAAACAGATGAAAGGAAAGTAAAAGGAAAGAGGTGCCCACAGTTTTGACTCAGTCAGTTTTGTATTTTTCCCTCTTTGATCTCTCTCAAACTTAGCTGTTGGAGGAGCTTCAGCACTGAGTGTATGCCTGTCAATTTCTAATTTGTGTTTTCAGCCAGAGGAAACAAAGTAGAGATAAATGCTTCTCTAATGTATGGCTCAGTCCTGTGATGTGATGAGCTGAGCACCTTCAAGTCCCATTGACTTCAGATTCTCAGGGCCATCACAAAAATGCTTGGTGCTTCCCAGGACAATGCCCTTCAGGCTCTAAACAAATATAAATATGAAAGCTAATGGCCAGACTTTTTGGATATGGGGTTGTCTGCTGAGAGGGGAGGTGAGGCAATCTGGTGAGGCATCTGCTGCTTACTAGTTGTTACGATTGCTCTGGCTAATGCAATACTGTTAAGCTCTGGAGGCTCTAGTTCAATTTTCTTATTAAGTTCTCTAGCAGTGGTGAAATCTTGTTGATAATGCAAAGCATATTTATTTGTCACAGTAGAATCATCTACCTCACACACTTGGTAAGGATGTGGTTCAGAATCTGTCTTGTTTATCTGTATTTGGGATTCAGCTCCAGTTGGTGTGTACAAAGCGGACTTCTGCCTATATTCACCTGTGGCATAGCTCTAGTATGTTTTTATGACATTCTGATTCCTAGACTAACCTATGCACAATATTACTGCCAGTGTATCTGGCTTTCCGAGCAAACAGCAGTCACAGAGGCTGGATTAAATTAGTTATGTAGCATTGTGCAGTCCCAAGACACATGTGTATCCATTATTGTTTGCCATTTTGCTGATGTATCACATCAGCAAATCTGGTTTTTATACTACTTGATCTCAAATATTTACTGAACAGTACTATTCTCTGTTTTATTGCTGAAGAGATTTGCAAATCACCTTTCCTATATCACACATTGTGCCTTGCCTTTCCTTTATCATCTTCTAGGCTCTACTTAATACTGTCTCACCATTTTCCAAAACCTAGATACTTGAGAGATGTTATGTCCCCTGAGGAAACTGCTGAGCAGGATTACAGATTCAAAGCCAGCTAAAAATTTTTATTTCAGTTGACTTGGGACTGGATCCACAGGAGCATTTGGCTTTAAAGTTGTCTTTTTGTCCCTTTGCTGTGGGACAAAGCAAGATAAACTTGTCATATTCAGTGAATGTACACTGCAGTATGTGCATCTGAGACAAATAGTTATTTTCTTTCTTTTAAACTCTTCAGTATGTCATTAAAAAAATATTTATGTGATGTTGGCAGAGAGCTGTCACTCATCCTAGCCTTTTCAACCAGAGCATTTTTTTTCATTCCTTGTTTAAAAAAGTAATGAGTTTGCTTTTGTGTACTCTTCTGCAGTACAGTGGAAAAATGGATGAAAACAGATTTGTAGCTGTTACCAGCACAAATGCAGCAAAAATCTTTAACCTTTACCCAAAGAAGGGGAGAATTGCTGTGGGTTCTGATGCTGACATTGTAATTTGGGATCCCAAAGCTACAAGGTATGTATGGGTAGTTATTTCATCCCATCCAGCCTCTCTGCAGGAAAAAAAGTATATCTCGAAGACCCTGTACAGCAATAAACCTTTGGGGTGAGGTTATGGTGTTTTTTACAGGTGAATTATTTACAGGTTATTTGTCTCCTACAATAGCATATGTAAGCAGAAATCTTTGATCTCTAGATGGACTTAAAAAAATTGTCCTAGAATGCTGACCAACTGCAAAAATAACAAGATCTGTACATTACACTACCAGGGCATGGTATCCTAAGAGTAAAAATAACAACTTTGGGATCTTAGAGTAACTCTGTTAAGTCCTACAGTATGTTTAGCTTCTTCCCACTGCAAAGAGAAGGGAGAGGAGCCTGCGTTCCTGCAGGATGACCCATTGCAAGCTTGTGGTTTTAACTTACAGCTACTTCAAACATACTCAAAGGTGGTCAGGATGGGTGGTGAAAGTGTGTGGTCTTGCCCTCCTAATGTCTTCTCCCTAGCTGATGAAGAAAATATGGTAGTAGAGCCAGGAGTGAGCTTAGTTCTGAAGTGCAAGCTGTGCATGCTTATGATTTTATTTAAGGAGTTTTCTGATTTTATGCACAGTAGGTCTGCTAGAATAGAGCTTATCACACCAACAACAGATGCACAAAGGGTGTGCTTATGTCTCAGCCTGCACGGCTTGATGCCATGCTACATTTTTGCTAGAAAGGGTATGCAGTGTCTTTCTGGGAGCCTCAACTCACACAGCGTACTGTACATTACAGCTGATTGCTGTCTTCAGGTATATTCACATCATCAGCCAGCTCTGTACTCAGGCCACTACAAACATCTCACTGTTGTAACTCAGATAGCATTAGATTTTTATTTTTTGAAAAAAGAGTTAAAGACTCCCCTCATGGTAGAGGAAAATTTTGAAACATAACTGGGCAAATCTGATTTTGGAAGCCAAATGGAGGAAAAAAAGCTCTAATCCTAGATTTACTTTACACAAACAAAATTTTCTTGACCAATCTTCTGTTTTTGAATTTTTGATAATGCAATTCTCACTCCCTTCAGTATACTCATGAGTACAAACAATGTGTGAGAGTGAGAGGAAAAGCATTCTGTGTTTTAAGCTGCAAAGCTTGAGGACATGGAGGCTCCTATTCAGAAGTCCCACAAAAAACGGGCAGCACCAGCAGAACAAGTTTTAGGAGTGTCAACCTCAATAAAGTTAGAGGCCTACCCAGTGCTGGGTCAGAGAGATTTTCATGTGCATTATGCCTTCTGGCATGTTGAGCAAGAATATTTTGCGATACGAGCAATGAGCTATTTCAGGACAGTGGAGCTACGAACTCTGATTAAAAAAAATCTGAAGGATTCTTTTCTGAGCTCACTTCTGCTCTGCCTGGGGACAAATGAATCTAGACGGATAGGAGAGTTCTGACATTGTTCTCAAGGTGCTTTGTCAGCTCCAGAAATTATTTATTCTTTTGCCTCCCAAACATTCCTTCTGCCTCCCTTCACTCAGTGCTGAGTGCCCTCATTGCCTTTTTACCCATTGCAGCTGTGAAGGTGCAGTTTTACTTCAAATATTTTTTCAAACTTTAAACTGTATTTTCTTACTGAGCAAACTGATTTTAACTTCAGCCAATGCTTTTTTCTGATCTGGTACTGTTCCCATTGTTTATCCCTTTGGCCTTCCTGAGAAAAAGCCTCTCTGCAGGTACAATTGTGTGAACTACATGAGGAAGTATAAATAAATCTCACTAGCGCTTGTCTATTCATTTCACTGTAAATCCTGAAGAGGGCACAAACAGCCCAGCAGAAAAAAAGGGATCTAGCTAATGTACTTCAGCCATCTAAGATATTACACAAGGTGCAGCCTCATGTGCTTTTGTTGACTCTAGGGAGTGATTTTCAGTTTCACAATAGGCTTCCTCTTTCTTGCAAAATCCTTCCTCTTTTGAGCATGACTGTTTTTCTTGTTTGTAAATCTAAATCTTGTAATAGAGGAAAATGAAATTTTCCAGTTCTGTTTTGATGCTGTGTTGCTGTAGTCTTAAAATACTGGGTGATACTAGACGAAAGAGTTAGACAATTGCTGAAGTATTGCTGTGAGGAACTGGTATTATCACAATCTGTCAGAGGAAGTCTATAGGGAAGATTCTGAAGTCATTCTGAAAGATAGTGAAGGTTTTCAAAATACAAAAACTTATATCCCCACAAAATCTGCTGCATTTCCCCTCCCACATCATTGCACAATAGCAACATGTTGGGTGCTATCTGAGCATTCAGGATTTTCTCTTTGTAGGTTGCAAAAACCTAGTGAATTCAATGTGACAGCTCTGCAAGCTGAGAGCAATTGCAATTCAAGGTTCCACTTCCAGCACTCTGCCACTTCAGCTGAGGCTTTCCTTCTACAGATCAGCTTCATTGACTGGCCTATTTCTGTAGCATTTTCTGGCAATTTCTGCAAAAATATTATATGAACAGTAATCAGATTTGCTACTGTATTTAAAAGCTTCCAAATACTGGTTTTAGCATGTCTGCATGAAATCAAGCAGTATTGGGAAGAAACACATTAAATGTGTAAATTCATTGGAAACTGCATTAGAAAAAATGGCTTGTGAACTCTGCCAGGTTAGGTCTATTTCTTCACTTCCCTATACTCATTGCATATTCATTAAAGAACACACAAATACCAAAGGGACCTGTTGGTTTATTTGGTAGCCATGTGCTACTAAACATCATCTGGCAGACCTCAACACCCTCAGCATCCCAAGCACAGCCTGTGCACGGAGGATTGTTTTATGAAAACAGCAAATTGTTTTGTGAGGCAGCAAATGTGAACTCTTTAATCTGTGCTTTGATCAAGAATGTTACTTGACTTCTTTCAGCTGCACACAAATAATATAACAGCCCCAAGTCTGTGAAACAAAAGCAACTGTAAACACTGTTCCAGAAGGAGAGGGCAGAGTAAACAAGGAAAAGGGAATGTCACCTGTCAGCAAGTCAGTGTCCTCTACAGCTGATGCTTTTAGCTATTTGAAAGCAAGCAAGAATACAAAATCTCTAGGGCTTGTTTCAGAAATGCTCAGCAAGGAATCTAAATACTGCAGTACCCAATTCAGACCATGGAAAGAGTTGAGCATCCCATGTAAAGTAGGGGCAGAAGGTGCATTCAGCTCCTGGCAGATATAAGGGCTCAATAAACTCACTGTAGCCTGTCGGAGTCTTGGAAATAAGCTCTGGATCAGGCCCCAAAGGCAAGACCAAATATCCATAGGGATAAAAAAACCTGTCTGAAATGGTTTTTAACTTTCTAAGTCTAGCCACTTCAATATAACAACATGCAGTCTGGTCAGCTGCACCCACCAGTGTTTTTCCACTCACCAAATATAGCCTAAAAGTTAGCCTCTCCTTGACTGCAGAGGCAGAGCTGGCTGTGCAGGTACCAGTCTCTCACCCCATCCTCCTTGGAGTGGCCCTCTTTGGCAGGCCCAGCACGTGCCCCACGTGTGCCAGCGGAGCTGAGCTCAACCCTGAGCACAGCAGTGATGGCTGCAGCCCAAGTGCACTGCTGCTGGAGCAGGATCCCTGATTAGCAGGGAATGCAGGAGTCCTGAGTTGAGGAGGAGAGGGAGGAAAAGGACACGTCACTCTCTAATCTACCTGCTGTGACATGACTAGGAAAGATGTGGTTTCTAGCCTGTTTGCAGTGTTGTTTATACATTTTAGGGGAAACGGTCACTGGATGCAAATCAGTGAGAAGTCAGAGTGCCCCAGTCTGCTGGCATATGTTCCCTCAATGCCTTTGTGTGTAGATATCTTTGTGGATAAATCTTTTGCACTTGTTAGAACCAAAATCTGCAGCCTATGCCTGTCTCATTTGTAGTCAAGTCTTCAGCCTCAGAGGCTTAAGTGGAAACAAATAACAACATTTAAGCACTCTTTGCCAAGCAACTGCCTGTAATTTTTTGTAATGTGAAAGAGGAAGAAACCAAGATGTTAGCAGATGATTAGAATAAATAATACTGCAACTGTCTTACTCTTTTGATAAATGAGCATAATTTTGAATTCTGAGTACATGGATAAGTACATCTAGACACAATGAGGCAAAATGAAATAATGTGGCATACAAATATGTATGCATAGGACAAATATGTTCTGGCATTTTCAATAGTCCCATATTCTTTTGCACAAGTGCAAGCATGTGCATGCATGAATGTGCACTAATTCACTAGAATCAGAGTTCCTGTCAAAGGCCTGTTATCTCAAATTAAAGGACATGGAGAAAGAAACAATAGGCACAAATTACTATGCAGGAAATTCCATTTAAACATAAGAAATAACTTTTTTTTTTTGCTATGAGGGTCATCAAACACTGGTACAGGTTGCCAAACAGATTGTGGACTCTCCATCTTTGAAGGTTCTTAAAACCCAACTGGATATGGCCCTGAGAAACCTACTTTGTCTGACCCTGACCAGAGCAGAGGGCTTGGAATAGCTGATCTCTGGAGACGCTTTACAACCTCAATGACTCTCTGATTCTGTGAACTGTAACAAAATAAGCCTCTCTCAGAGAGCATGATGTACGTTTCCCTAGTAACTTGCTGTCTCGCAAAATGTCAGCTGCTCTCTTTAGAGAACTGAATCTTAGAAATGTTACCCCAAAAAAATTAAATCTTTTTTATTTTCTCCTTAAATAACCTTGCCTTTTTCCCCTGGTAATCACTTCCAGATCTTCCTTAGTGATTGAATAGACTAATTTGTATTTTCCTCTCTTTTTATGCTTTTCTGCAATCTTAATTTCTCATTACTGTTTCCCTCCTGGCCATTATACAGTTTGACAATTTTCACTTCCATCCCATATCAGCTTGGAGTGATTGATAGGACCAGACTGATGGTATTGTTAATAAATTAGTTACTTACCATAATCAGAAAAATAATTTTGTTGTCATTCTCTACCCATCTTAAAATGATGAATTTTAGGAGGTATGATCACAGGAAATAAAGATCCCATCCCTCAGATAAGTCACTTTGACTTGGAGCTCCCAAAGATTAACTTCCTACCTCTTCTTCCATCTGTTATTTTATCCATAAATCTCCTCACTTCATATGGCTACTCAAAGGCAGTGCTTATTTAAAGATATTTTTTAAGAGGCTAGGAATACAACTTTATGAATAATTGCCTGCATATATTTGCATGTGCAGTTATTGGAATTCCTTTATATAAAATAGACCATGGGGGTTTTTAATCCACATTATAGCTTATAGCTAACATTTTTGCACATAGATTTTAAGATTTTAAGATTTTCTCCTTTTTTTCTTTTTTTTCCCACTTCCTTTGCTTGTCTTTTTAATAAAACTGACTCTCTAACAAAGTTTAACTTATCATTATAAATGAGTGGTGGCTCAGGATAGCACAGAAATGTGTACAATCTACTTTTTCTAGATTTTAGAAAAGCAGGTTAACAATATGGAGAGTTCAAAGGCATCTGAAAGTGATGTGAAGAGGCAACTCACAAAGGCTGATGCTATCCTCAGCAAACCGGCATTTCTCACTTACCCAGCTCCAAAAAGCTTAGAGATCCTGCACTGTAAGCACTGAGAGAACTTGCTTACAGCTAAATACTCACTCTTACATAAGTTGGTTTTCTATGGCAGATGTCAACAAAGCAGTTGTCTTCTCTTCAACAATGGACTTGGGTCATTTTAGCTACCTTTATGAATATGTTTTTAGTTAATTAATTAATTAATTAATTATTAAATAGGTGTCCTCCCTTTACTGAGATGTTGAGCAGCTATTCTTGCCTAAGGGCTGTTGACTACAGAATTCCTTTTTATTCCCGTACCTGGAATTTTTTAAGACAACTGTGTGAGGTATACATCCAGTTTCCACTGAAAGTAATTAAATTCTTCATTTTCTTAGGCCCATCTTGATAATTAAAGTGATAATCCTCACAGCAGTCAAAGTTTAGGTTCTAGAGCTCACTCTAGTCAAACAGATCCACCTTCACTGGGCTGAAGTAGCTTCATGTCTTATGCATTATGAGGGGCAGAAAATCACTCTAATGTCTAATAGTCTCCCTTCATCCAGTTGCCCCTCCTGCAACTCACTATTTAGCATTTCAGGCTCTGACTGAGGCGTAGATATGTTTATGATGCTCCTGACTTGTGTTTGACGTGAAATGAAAACTGGTACCTCTAACTCCTTAACAAATCTTCAGGGCATAATTTTTGAGCTGACCACCTGTACAGTCTTGAATTTCACCCTACAGCTTGCTGTGTTAGTCTAATCTGATGCTTTTTTTCTAAATTTCAAACTTCAGTCTGTAGTTTATTTAGATATAATATTCCAGGAGTGACTATAAAGCCCTTTCTCACATAAAGCATAAATAAATACAGGCTTTCTAGTCACTGATTCCTCACAGTCAGAGAAAATCTGGTAATTGCTCTTAGACTAAAATAATTGCTATTTGACTAAATTAGTTGGACACAAGCATTGGATTGAAATAAAAACAATTTCAGAAGCATGTCTTCCTCTTTGGTAGTAGAGGAATGTCAATTTTTATATTGATAGCCTAAAACCTCTTTGCAAGATGGATGTATCAAAAGCAGCTGAATTACATGGAAACACTGATGTAAGTAGGAACAAAACAGGGCCTCATGTCTTTGCAGTATCCTCTCTGTAGAGGAGAATGTTCTTTTAAATGTTGAAGTAAACATTCTAATCTCAGTGTCCATTTGAGAAAGGATTGCTTGAAACAAGAGCCACTGTAATTTGTAACCAGAATTAGAGAATTGTACAAATTTTATTTAAAAAAATCCAATACACGTTTTTGAAGCTGGGAGTCAGAATCTATGCTCTCATGTGGAGTAATCCCTTATGTCAGGCATCACTTAGGATGCTGGAGACAGCTGTTACATTATACTTCACTATGGTGGCAGTCTTGATTTCTTGTATTGTAAGTAGGTTACAGCCATTCTTGCCATTAGCTGAGTGGTCAGACATTCAGAGCAAACGTTGGAATTTCGCTGAGATTCCTGGCAAGCTACTAAAATGAATGATACAGCAGTAAACAGTCTGTTGCATAAGGTTGCTGAGTTGTGAGCTTCAGACCCAAGCATACCATCTATTTCTGTTTTAATTGGTTGCTCGCTTGCTACCTGAACCTTTCACTGCCATTGATTAATGTCAAGGGGTTAAATGACAGACGAATTTTGGTGATCACCATTAGGGAGAATGCACTTCACCTTCAGAAAGAGCAGCATGATCTAAGGGTTGTTTCAACAGAAGAGTTATAAATGAGTTTTATACAAGTTTGTTGTTGAGACAACCTCTGGGAAAAGTGTTTTGTCATACTGTAAGGTTTATCTGTACAAATGGATATTTCTTAAAGTTGTGCTAACTTCCATTCATTTTGTATCTTTTTATGAAGGATGTACTTACCTCTGAGGCATGTTTACCTCTAGTGATCCTGCTATAGCACGTTTAAACAGCTCACATATTGAGTTGAAGGATCTTGCTTGTTTTTCTGTTTGTTTGCTCAAATTACCTTTTCCATTTTTCTTTTTGTGTCCCAGTGCTATTGAGCAAATAGATATGATCTATACCCAGAGAATCCTAAAGATAATTATGTTACAGTTGTTCTTACTTACTCTTCTAGCAATTGGACCCATAAGGGTAATGCAATAAGCTAGAGGAATATGTTCACAAACTCGTTGTAGGGCTGTTATAACACCCATGGATAAAGTTGTTTGACAGTATTCATAGAACCGGTGAATACAAGAGAGGTCTGACTTCTATTGCTCACTCTTTCCACTCTGAATCAGGAAGATGATGCTGATATTGATGAGCAGGCATGTGTAAGTTTTCTGTCCAAGGTGTGCTGAATAAGGAAAAGTTTTTATTCCTATGGCCAGATCGGCCATAGAGAGTATTTCTATATATACAGACTTTGAAAAGTCAGTTGGCACTGAGATTTAAAGATTTAAATGTAGCTCTTGGTCGAACCAATTTTTCTTAGTTCAACAGATCGATATGAAAGAAAACCAAAGTATCCCTCCACAAATTCTTTTTTCCTCTGTATAAGTAATCATTTGAAATATTTGATATGTGATTACTTTTGAAAATGGTTATACTTCAAGTAAGATACAGATTTTGTTGTGGTTTTCTCATTTTGATAACTAAAGTTTAAAAAAAACTATTATCCAAATAGATCCATACTTTAATCTATTAATATTTCATATTAGTTTTGACTTTGATAATTCTGTTGCAAAAAATGTAGTCTCTGGACTAGCATTAATACTATTTATGCATGATTGATAGGTTTTTGATTGTGTGAGCACCCATTCTGGAAAATTCTGACTGCTAGCCAAAAGCATGAAGCTTCCTTCCTTCTAGAAATTACAGATGATAATAAAAATATAAACTCTCCAAATTATAAAAAATTATCTGTAGATTGGAAACAGGAAGTTAATAAAATAATTAACTAAAATTCAAAATCTTATGACCCATTTTAGATACAGTAGACAGTAAGTAGCTCAGTAGGGAAAATAGTAAAGGAAGTATGCACAGCCTGAATTTCCAGATGCTAATGTCAGCTCTAGCATTGACTCTGCCTTTAATGTAGCCAGTTGGGGTTGGAGAAATTGGCTGGAAAAATGGTCATCATAAAGAATGAGGTCTATGCATAAAGCAAGCAATAATACTGTAGCTCAGATTAGTGCTGCTGAGGTCTAAAATTATAATTTGCTTAATACTTTTGGAGGAAAGGTATGTAGAAGCGTGATGTTGTCATTGTTATTTAGCAGCACTGAGATATTTGGGTGTCAGTCACTGGATCAATCTAGCTCACATTAAGAGTTACCAAAATTCATTACCATCTACTGACTTTCCAGTGAAACAGTCCTTGTCTTATTTGTGAGTCTCAATCTTTGAAACATTGCAGCCATACTTTTCAAACTTGAAATTGCAAGTCATTCTGGCTAAAAGGTCAGAGCTTTTTCTGACCTTATTGTGCATAAATATTTGCTTGACAAGGCAGAATGAAATCATGTTATCCAAATAAAATATTACAACCTGATATTTTTCCCCACTAATCTCTTTCTAGTGGAAAATTTTGTGTTTCAAGGCTGCAGAGTTCTGTCCTTTTGACTCCCTCTTCATTCTCTTGAAATGCAATTACTGTTCAATGAAATGTTAATGCTCTATCCTATTTTTACAGCTGTTCCATGATGTACCATACAATGTCATAGTTTAATAATGCTGCTAAATTTTCTTCCTTTATCTATCTCTCAAAATTTTATAATGAAGTAAAATGCAAGGATCATAGTAATTTTGGGTGTTGTTTTGTTTTGTAAACACAGGACAATATCTGCAAAGACACATCACCAGGCCAACAACTTCAATATATTTGAAGGAATGGTCTGCCACGGAGTCCCAGTTGCAACAGTTTCAAGAGGCAAAGTGGTTTATGAAGGCGGAGCTTTCAGTGTCACAGCAGGAGAAGGCAAATATGTCTCCCGTCCACCATTCCCTCCATATGTCTACAAACGAGTCAGGCAGCGGGAGCAGGTTAATTAAACTAATAAATCTCTGTAATGCTTTGTACAACATGAGGATAACTCGCTCTTGGGAAGAGAGGTTTGGGGATTCAATGGTAATTTCCCTTACTAATCAAAATCTGCCAAGGTGGGAGGAAATGAAACTTAAGGACTCAATTTTTATTGCTCTTTATCTTACAGAAAAATATCATAGACTAACTCCTGCTCTTAGGGTAGTCTCTATAGCTCATAGACTAAGCCTGCATACTTTTAAAAATAAATATGTCCCACTTGCAATAAAAGTGAACAAAGTTTTGCTCATAGGTAATCTGACTAACTGCTAGATTTCATCACTGATTTCACTGAAAATCAGAAAGGCTTAACAACATATGCAGGAAGAAATGTTATACTGAGGAAGAGATCAATAATATTCTCTTTCATGGATGAGATGTTTGGAGCTGTAGAATATTGAACACTTGGCTCTGTTTCAGCAAGAATGTGTTAAAAGCTAAACATGTGCAAAGTGTACTGCTGGACCAAGCAAGATAGCTGTGTTCAAGCTCTTCTACTTTTTTTTTAAAAAGAGAAATATTGCAAAATACATGCAGATTGAATTCTCAGTGTGTATTTACCATGCACGGCTTCATGAAGAATGCTTTTGAGTCCCTAGTGTTACTTATTGTGGGTAGGAGTTTCAAAGGCATCCAGACTAAGTATATTTCAAAATCACAACCTCAATCAGTGGGATTCACTGCTGGATCTAAAAGTTGAATCAGACTAGCATCCATGTGAGATATGGCTCATTGAAATGCTTCCAAGATAATTCTATATATTTCTTCCTGCTGTTGTCTTGAGAAAGGCAGGTGAAAGTGGCTGAGTGAGGCTTTCCTCCAAAGACCATACTTTCACAGGAGCTGCTGGGCTGTGTGCAAGTTGATACACATAATACAGTGGATAGGCAGGGATGTCCCCTCATGAGTACACACATTTTCCCTGGGAACTACAAACAGAAAACAGATGATTGCATTTTGGGGGATTCCAAACATAAAGGAACACTTTTTTTCTTTTTTTCTTTTCTTTTCTTTTTTTTTTTTTTTGGTACCAGTAGTCAGTGTAAATTAGATAAACTAGACAGATTTTCACTTGCATTACATTAGCACCTAACTATACTGTTTCTACTCTGCTTTTTATTTTGAAACCAGATTCTTCATTTAAATCTGTCCACAATTTTTATATATTCTTTTCATCTTTGCAATGTGAATGAAGGTTAATGTTCCTAGGGGAAAAGAAGGGCAAAGGAAAGTGCCTAGACTTCCCAGATATAGTAGAAGTGAACCAGTAGTCCTAACTGTGAATTTGTTCAGAGAAAAGTCTTCCCTTTCCACTGAACATTTAACCGAATTGAAACAATTGCTCCAAAGGTCATGCCATTCCATGGCCAGATGCAGATAAGATTGTCTCACAGGCTAAATAGTGAGAATTGTTCACCTACAGGAGACTGTTTCTGCATTTTTAATCTAGATGATAGATTCTCTTTGCAGTGTTCCTCTTAGAAATCATAGTCCTTTGGCTCTGTCTTCAGTGGGATATGTATCATGCACAAAGTTGCATGTGCCTGTGAGTCTATTTAATCCACTGGACATTGAAGATATTTGGTACTTTGTTAATGAGGGCTGCTTATTATTATAGCACTTTCTTTGTTGTGCAATGTTGATCCCTTTGACTTTTAATTCAAAATAAATGCCAGGTAATGGAAATAGAAACTAGCTACTGAAAACAGATTTGTACTGGCATTACACCAGCAAAAACTTTTCATGTAAGAGAACAATGCTGCAGTTATTAAATGATAATTAGGTGCTTCCTCAAGCATAGCTGAGTTTTAGTGACTCCAGATCCTGGCATCTCTGCTAAAGCCTTATATCCCCTGTTAGAAGATTAATATCAATCCTGAACTAAAATTTATAAGAAATTTGATAATTATAGAATTCTGAAAGACTTCAGTGAACGTGGTGATTTCCATTTCCCATTAAAGCTAGAGAGAATTTTCCCTTAAGTAAAACATCAAGCACAACATGTCTTCAGAAGTGATTTTTCAACCAGCTCAACCTCCTGTAGCCAGCAGCTGCGATGGTGGATGGTAGATACCCACGCAAGGCAGGATTCACTGTGTTTCACTGATGTTCATGAACCTCTCTTACCTGTATTAAGAGCATCACTGGAAAATGTGATTAAGAAAAAACAAGCTTATAGCTTGAACATGGAGCGAGTCAGCTGTCCTGGAGAGCAGCTCAGGTGTGTGTGTTTTCTCTGTACCTGTTCTGTCCTGGGATATCCTGAAGTAGCTGAACCAAGATTAAAGAAATATACAGAAGCAACTAGATTAACTGATTTATGATTGTGTTTTAGCATATCCTAATTATTTATGTGCCATAATCTCTGGGGTTTTGCCACTCCAAGATCTGTTTGGACTAATGAAGGGAGAAGCATCAGTAAAAAGAGGTGGAACATGGTCAGTTCCTTCTTTAAAAAAATGGGTTTTGAATTGCTTTATTACAGTGCTGAACAGATTGAGCCACCCAGCTCCTGATGAAAGCTGAGAACTGTTTAATCCCAGTGTAAAGGATCTTTTCAAGAGAGAGGTTTGCTGAAAGTGTTGGGATGCATAGCATACAAAGCTAGGTTATCATAAGACTGCTATTTTAATTGTGTCCAATTACCAGCTGCAAGGGGAAGACAAATAATAGTGAAAGATTTGAAATGTTTTATTGCAGGTCTGTCAGCCTGTTCCTGTTAAGAGAGAACCATATAAAGACGTGGTCTCAGGAACATCCTTCACACCAAAATAATAGGCTCATTCCCCAGTTTTTGCTCTTGCAGGTAAATGTCTCTTCAGTTTAGTGAAAACTACTTTCCTTAATGCTTCTCTGAAATTTCAAGAAAACAAAAGTGCAGCAGGCCATCTAGCTTGTGACAGGCTTTTTGAAATAAGCCCTTTCAGAAGCTGAATTGTCTTGGTATCTTTAAATTTGATGAAAATGTGTGGCAGCCCAGGTATGGAGGACCTCTTTCTGATTGAAGCCTCATTTTAAAAGTTCAGTTGAGAGAAACAAATGGAGTTTAACTGCTATACTGAGACATGGGTATGAAGGCTCATAGAAAACCTGAGTTCAGTTAGCACCAGGAGTACAAACAAAGCATAAATGTTTGGCTTGCAAATTTACAGAAAAAAACCCAAAACCAGCTTGTGGTGAAAAATCACGTTCTCTAGTGTCCCTGTGTTACAGACAATAACTCTCCACCAATTGTACTGTTTGGGTTACGCTGATATATCTGTTTTGCAAGGACAACAGCTGTCTGTATGCAACAGAGGTGCTGCAATGCCTGCAGTGGTCTAATGGATGGTTGACCTACTGTAAGGCTCAGTGCCTCAGAGGCTAACAGGGGAATACACTTGTATCTCCCCTTCCCTCCTCTCCAGTGTCCACAGTGTGTAGCTTGGTTATTGACACTCCCTCACCTGTATACACCCTGGTGCTTGGTAGATCGTTCTCTGAGCTGATTTACTTGCTAAGCCAGCAGAAAACAGTTATTAGCTTCCTTTTTCTGGGTTAGTTTTCTGTTGGCTTAGTGAGTTGAACTGTCTCTCAGAAGAACCTAGCAAGGATCAGTGCAGTGCAACATACGGGTGGGATAAGACAGCTGAGGAGAGGGACTAGGCAACACCACCTCACTCTTTAACTGTTTAACAAGCAGAAGAAGTGCTTCAGGAAAAAGTGAAAGAACTATGTAAGACCTTCAGGAAGCACAATTGAGACAGGATGCTGCTGTATGCCAACTGCAGCTGAAATGTTGTCTTCTACAGCAGGGGAGTTGATTAGCATGGGTTGGGGGGACAGCGAGTGGCCTTAAGCATGACAAAATCCAGGATGAGTTTTTGGGTGCATATGTGTACCGACAATGAGATTAGCTAGTTTGAGAAATGATTTCCCAATAGATGGAGGTAATGCCCCAGTTTGTACCTCACCTAAAATGGGTTTGTTCTTAGTGCTAGTTAATATGAGGACAGGAACAAACCTGCAATGGTGGGAGGGTGAGGTTAGCTTTTCCACATTTCATTGTATCATTCATTTAAAGCTCCCTCACAAGGAACTTCATCCAGGGCATCAGTAGCAGCAGCAGAGCGCAGCATGCTATTTGTTTTCCTCTGTCATAAGGGAGAAAGCTTTCGTAATAGAGAGGACTAAAGGCTAAAGCTGCAATAGAGTGAGGGAGGCTAGCTCCTAGCACTCTTTCTCCATTATTACCTCTCTGAGTGACAAATTGCAAAGCAGAGATTTTCTTTTGAAAGATTGTATCATATTGTCTTTTTCTCCTCTGTAGATAAAAGCAAATGAAAATGACCCTGCTGTCCCCACCAAAGCAGTGCATTCTGGGTCCAACAATCAATCCACAATCAACTTCTCAAGAGCCAACATGAAACGACAATAACCAATAAACATTATACTGTGCTTCTGCGTGAAAGTTGTCATTGCAATTTCTCTTTAAAAGGAATTTTGTTATTAGAACTGGAAAATTCTTTTTAGAAAATGGAGTAATAATAAAATAATAACTACAATGATAATGTGGCAGCAGCTCTGTAGGTTCTTAAATGTAGGTAAGTTTGGGGATGGTATTTCTCAATATTTATCTTTAGAAGGTATCAGCTAACTTTTACAAAGTCAAAGCAATGAGCAATGGCCTTTAAGCACTTTTTCTACATTCTTGCTCTGTTAGGTCACAGGAGATGAATTCTAATTCTCTAGTTTCATGTGTTAGGAAGATCTCTGTTGTGTTTTGCAATGCAGAGAATTCTGATAGCTGATGCTAAATTTGATTTTTTGGTTTTCCCTTCCCAGGGAAAAAAAAAAAAAACAACAACAAAACAGAAAAATGCTGATTCAGGGGAACTGTCACTATTTTAGAGCTGCTGCTACATCTCCCTGTCCCTGTCTTTAAAGGAGTTTATATATTTTGTCCCTGCCAGCTGCACAGCCAAGCGTTTATTGGAGTGTTCAAGTGTTTCCTTTGTTATACCCTAGGCAATCCTACAATAACTATACTGGTGAACTCACCTACAGTACTGTTTTGTGTTCTTGCTTTATGGAGAGACAAACACCCATAACTTGAAGGCTTATGAAGCGGGATCACTAGAGCAAAAGCATAATGCATTAATTTCAAAAAACATTTTTTCCTGATGTAACTAATATTTTCTTTTTTGTAGGATAGGATTCCTAATTTAAAAAAATCTCATTTGCTCAATTTATCTGATTTCCCATTTGAGAGGTAATTGTATTCTTAGAAACATGACTCTGTTACCATGTCTAGACAGGTTTTGCCTCGGAAACCTAGAATGTTTTTTAAAGTTGCATTTTCAGATGTGATAGCCCTTCTTTTTAAGCAACTGTCACTAGGGAATATTTAAGAGGGAAATGAGGTCAACACAAAAACACCTGTACAGTGAGTTTATTGTCCTATATGTAGAAACAATATAACCTGTACCTCTGCGCAATGCATGGGCCAAACAGGCACAGAAATATGTTCATATTTTCAGACACAGAAAACATATGATAACTGCTCTTATTTTTAATTTTACAGTGAATGGCAGACTTGTAGTTCCTGCTATGCATGAGGTTGTATGAGAAACAAACTCCTACTAGGTCTGTAGTTCTTGTGTCTCTAAATAGCAAAGGAGAATTTTCTTTGTAAGATGATGGAGGATAATCAAGGGGATGTTCAGGAAGAGCTAGCATGGGTTCCCGTTTCTTGGGTTGTCTTTGGGGTGGCAGAACAGCAGAACCAGCATCCAGCACTATTACAATGACCATTACAAGGGAGCAGGTCATTGGTCAGTGTAGAGTTCCACACCGCAATGTTCTGCATCTGAGTTTGTTGTCTAGTCTCCCTCTGTAATCAACAGAGAAAAAGGTGCTTCTGGAACACTGTTCATCTCTGCATCAAGGTCTAAGACAGACTAGATGAACCTGTCCAGAGTTGTCCTCCTTTGGGATGAGATGAGTAGTTTTCTTGCAATGCCACCACCTTCCGCCTAGCCCGTCTTTGCCTCTCAGAACTGGAACTTTCTGGTATGAAGGATGCCTGTCTTTTCTTATATTTTATCTCACCAAGAGTGCATGTCAAGCATGAATCCGTTCTGTTTAATCTTTTGCTACCTTAGAAGAAGAGCAGAAATTTGGCAAGAGTAGCAGAAAAAGCAGGAGGGAAGAAAGGATCTCTTTCTGCTTTTAACAATAACATACCTGTGTGGAGACTATCATCTGAGGCTTCAGGTTTTAACAATTATTAGAGCCTTGCAATTACACAATATACCTGTGAAACAAGTAAATATAATTAGAAATAGTTTACAGTTGTGAGAACTATGGATGCTCAAAGCTCTGGAATCAGTCAAGTGACTGAATATATGTAGTTGCCTGATGTTTAACATCCAGTGTTGGCTTAAGTGAGTTACTCAAGGTGAAAATGACTCAATTATGACAGAAATGAAACCCAGGAGTAAAGCCTGCCAGTCCTTTGGATACTGTGGATGTGCTCAGGACTTGCAAATGTCCTTTGGGCTCTTGGGACACCTACAGAGATCAAAGCAATACAACAGACTGCAGATCATGAAAGCCCAAAGGAACAAAGTTAGTGATTTTTCTAAAACCAGATGTTTTCACAGTGTGATAACAGCAAGTAGTTTTATGAGTTATATAAACACCCATTTTGTAAACGTAGCTCCCCAAACCATGAAAGTGTATTATCTGTGGAAAAATGTATAATCTTTTCAGGTTTCCTACAGATTTTTATTAGATTAGAAATGAGAAAGCTTCCCCCTGTACAATTAGCAAAGAGCTCCTGATCCCTATGTTGGTATTTACTGCTCTGTACCATGGATTAATCTCCTCATAGTGAGTATCCTTTGGATTTTGTTCTTAACAAATGCCTACTTTTTAATTCCAATGGCTGTTTTAACTATTGTGCAGATGTCATGGAAAAAATTACCTGCATATTGGGAACCAGGATTTACACTGAAGCATCTGCTGTATTTTTACATCCTTGAGTGCAACAAGTTATTGAGCCTGTCAGGTTTGTGAAATTTGTGAGTATTTGTTTTGTCATGACACATGCGGGCTGTAGCACGTGAATTCTGCCTCTAGCCACAAGGCGCCAGGTAGTAGCCCTTGAGAAACTGCGTGACATCGAAAGTATTTCAGCTGTGCTATTCAGGTGCTACTGCTAAAGTTGACACTGTCAGGGTCCAAATCCCTGTGGTCCTTGTTCTTTTTCCACTTGTGTGGAGTACACTATTACATACGTAATTCTGGAACTGCCCAGGTCCCTATTCCAAAATGCCAGTACTGAGTGATAGCAGAGCCAAACACAGTAGGATATTTTTTCTAGTAGGTGTATAGTTAATTTGGGATGAAAAGGGATTATAAAATGCATTTATATCAGCATGGAGCACTGGAAGGAGCACTGAGTGGTCTCTCAGCCCTGCTTCAGTTTCTGGACCCTGACAAGACTTTGAATTTGTCCTACAACCTCATCCCAGTTCTTGCTTGTTCATTACATTCTCACAAAGTTGTTGCTGGGGCTGTGCTATAGCTGTAGTCCTAAGACAACAGATGCCCCACATTAGGTTGGAAAGCTGTTTTAGAGATGACTTTCGCAGGACAGTTTCCTTGAGCCTTTCAGGGGAAAGTAAGACAACAATTTCTTTCCCAGATGTTTGAATCTTACCTCATGTAGCCACAGTCCTCAGGCTTCTCCAGCACCTACTGAAAAAAGTGTTTGCTTTCTTTGATTCTTCCTTCAGTCCGTTGGTCACTCAGCAAGAGCAGACTATCTCTGATTGCTTTGAGAGGTGGCATTGCTGCATTAACCCCCTTTTTCTCTCTGAAGCAATACATCTCAGTACACGGGAGCTGAGGATCTGCTTTGCCAAGGCTGAAACACAGCCTTGCTTAGCACTGCTTTTTAGGATTCTGCTTGTTTCACCTCTGCTCATGTATGGAAAGGTCAAAACTCAAATACATTGTTACAGTAAGGAAAAAAAACCTCTGTTAACTATATTTTTATCACTCTTCCCAGCCAGACAGAAATTTGGGATCTTTAGTACCCCATTCTCCCTGGTGACGTAGATTCCAGGGCCAGGAGCAGAGAAGGAATTTGGGAGATCCGATCCTGGCATACCTATCATTGCTTTCACCCGCACCATTTGCCAGAGAAGTCCTCATATGGCCAGGATGTGTTTATTGTCTGCTGGCTGTCATTTCACTGCCTGCAAAGAGCTCACGGCTGTGGTGCAAGCACCTGCACCTGCAGGGCTTCTCTCTTCAGCCTGAAGTACCAGGGGATCCCTGCAGAGCAGCAATACCGGGGCACGTAGCTTCAGTGCGCAAGGCTGGTGATACGTATCACGAGTGAGATGAGAAGGAAGTTGCTCTCATGCACGGCAGCACCCATGAAGCATGTTCACATATTGTGAAGTCTGTGCCCGTGAAGTCGACAACAACATCCCCATTTTCAGGCTTTATTTCATCGTCAGCAGAGAGCAATCCTTTGATCCTTACTTTCCATTTTTGCAGTGTAAAACAGAACTACAGGAAAGGCTTTGCCTGTTCATTTCTTCTTTAATTACAAGCATTTCTGGGCTATTTAAACTGTGACGAAAACAATGTGAGTCAGTGTGACAACACTGACAGAGCAGGGATCAGGGTAAAAGCAGTTGCAAGCCCAGCTGCCCACACAAAATGCTGCAACAAAACCAGCACAGATTAAAAAAAAAAAAAAAAGGCCTTCAGCTTAGCGATGAAGCAAGCCAAGTTTGGGAGTATGGGTGGTGATGAGGAGAGTTGTGTAGATGCGGTTGTTGAAAGGAAATGGCTTCATTTGTATCGTGCTTCAGGAGGGTCAGGAGCGCTAGCATGTCTCTCTGAATTATCTTCACAAGACAATAAGGTCAGCCTTTCATTAATTTTGCAAAGCAGATTTGATCCAATTGGGGGATTTTTCACAGTAAATCAAACAGCTTCTGCACTAGTGAAGGACGTTTAAAAAGGAAGTTGAGCTCTGTTGTGAGCTGGGGGAAGGAAAGGGATGAATGAGTCAAAAGCCAAATCCAGACTTCTCCTCAGACTCTTGTTCTGAACGCTGCCAGTATATGAATACATTTCTGGCAAGCCCTAGGGGGGCACTTTTAGAGACAATGACCAATAACATGAAAGATATTAAAAATTTCCATTAAGCCAGTAAGTGAATAAATAAACCCCTTAATTTCAACTGTACCTGTAGTTCACTAGTGCTCAGCGGAAGGAAAAAATACATGCTTTGATGTATGGAGAAGAATGATCTATCGGAGCAGAAGAAAACATAACAAAACAGGAAAGAAGACTTTGAATGACAAAAGGGAAAAGAGACAAAAGAAAATGTAGGAAATATGAGGAGAGGGTAGGCAAGAGGAGGAACAGAAATAA